TCATTTGTTGAATCATGCATAATTTAATATAAACAAAAACGTAATTAATTTTAAAACTATTAACTAGGTTAGGTAAACATGTATGTAATGTGTATCAATATTTAGTATTAAGTTTTAGTTAGTAAGTTTTAGCAGATGTAGCAAAATAGTAACTAGGTTGAGCTATAATATATGTGATAGAACTARACAAATATAGGTCTTTCGGGAATGACCGCTTGACGCGATCACTGTTACACTGTAAGGCAAAACAGTAATACATGTTTATATTTTTAATTATTGTGTGTTTTTATGGTATACGTCGGAAGTGATCAGCGTGTATGACATATTATTATTTATTATGATTATTTTTTTAACGTTTGTAGAATTGACGAAAACATCATATTATTATTTAGAAATCTGTTTTGTGAAAATCAACTTAATTAATTTAATTTTTTTCAAAATAATGTAATTATTTTAAGTATTGCACACATTAAGTATAGACACATTTTTGTTGAACACAAGACAATACAATTAATATTTTACCATCAACTGTAGAAAATACTCCCACGTTTTAATTGTAATGAGAGAACCAAAAATATACTTTAATTTTTAATTAATTTAACTTTAAGTTTGATAATTGTGAATATTAAATAGACTCTCCCACTATGCTGCCACCAATAATCAGTGGTCAACTAATAACTAAAAAAACAATACAATTGGAATACAATATACAATAAATCTTTTAAGAATATCAATAATCTATATTCCTATACAAATACATAAGACAATTTATATTTTTGGGTTTCAAAATACCCAGCAGATAAATTATAACTTATAAGTAAAGGCCAGATATAATTGTGTTAAACATATTATATCAAAATTGCAGTATAAATATGTTCAAATACATTGAAAAATACAATAAAGTTTTATAATAAAATCATAAAATACATACCTATTTGTTAATTTTTTACTTAATAACATTATAGACATAAACAATTTATAGAATTATGAATTTCCAATTTAAATTTGGTATTAAAAAATAAAAATAAATTATTTTTCTAAATTAAAATTTATAATTATATATATATATATATTATATTTCTCAATTGATTTCTTGAAAATTACTTAAAGTATGTTCAAAATCTACACTTTTTATCGGTGCATATTTATAAATTTTTTAAAATTTGGCATAAGATTTAAATTATCATTTTTATATCCTTAATTTTTTTCTGAGTCATATTTAAATATATTTTTTAACCCATTAGAACCTAGAACCTGAAATATGTTGGCAAATAAATTATTATTATTGATATACTAATTATATCACAAAACTCATATTATGAGTATGTGACAGCATGAATTGTATGCTTCTCTACTATTAAAAATAAAATCCTAATGTAAAAATGAACATTATTAATGGAATTCATGTCAATATTTGATAAGATTTGATTTACCTGATATTAATAAACAGTTGTAATATCTATTAAAWCCAGTCCTTAATTATAAGGAAAGAAAATAAAATTTTATATCAATGCTTTTAACCAAAACTTGTAACACCCTAAGCTCTAATAATTTTTAAAAATTCAAACACTGATCAAACAATGATTCTAGTTTCAAAACACCCAATCAAATTAATCACAACCCAAATTTACAATCTTCATATATTTCATTTTTTATGTGGTTGATTTTGTAGTTAATTATTTATTTAATAATAGCATAATTAGAATATTTTACAATCAATTAGAGGTAAATACTCTAAATATTTTTCTTAAAGTAACAAAGAACACAATATCTGATTCTTTCAATTAAGTAGTTCTTAATTTCTCGTGTAACCTTCTTCTTCTTCTTCTTCTTCCTATGGCATTTTTAATCTCTTACAAGTTTTTTCCTCCATTACTACCCTTCACCACTTATCTCCATCTTGGGCAGTTTCTCTCCAATCCTCAACTCCAAGGGTTTTTAGGTCTTGCTCTAACACGTCAATCCATTTTTTCTTAGGTCTTCCTCTAGGTCTTTTACCTTGTGGTTTTCATTCCAATACGGCTCTAACTGCTTCGTTCTCTCGTCTTCTCACTATGTGGTCTAACCATTGAATTCTTTGGTCCTTAATGAAGCTTGTTACTGGTGCTAGTTCCAACATATCGTACTCCCTAGTAGTCAGATATATAATTATTTGAGTTACAATAAGTTACTTAATTAATACAGAATAAATCCAAATTCCAAAATAATTAATATAGCCAATAGCAATACGTAACATTGCCTTGTTGACATGTATCTTATGGTTGGGTATGGTCTGATCTCTGATGTCAAAATATAAAGTATGTTTTGTCAGCAACCAAATACTAATAATATAATTTATAGTATTTGCAGTGACAATTCTGCGGGTTACTATTTTTAACTTTTTTTTAAGGGAGGAATTAACAATAAAGAATTCGATATAATATAATATAAAAGTTGATTTCGGTTTGTCTGGCATTTATGCCTCCCTAAACAGCTGGACCGATTGCAACGAAATTTGGTACAGAGATATTATATAAGACCTATGGGCAGAAGATAAGCTAAATTGAAAAGTGATATGCCCAGATATCATTTAATTAAATATTTGAATTGTCAGACTTTTCTCGATAAAACAAATAAAATTACATAATGATAAACTAATTTGAATATTGTTGTAAGATTATTGATTATTAGTTATTACTTAGTATATTTTAACCGATATCTATCTATGTATATAAAAATATACTGCTGGCATAATCACAAGAAACAAGTTTAAMACACAGTTTGAGACATACAAGAGATTGGATTTTTAATGGGCTACAAAATGCATTTGAGTTCAGCTAGTCTTATAAAAAAAAAACAAAAAAACTATATTTTTAATAAATTACTGAACTAGAACACTCATATTAACCAATATTAACCAGAATAATAATCCAAACGTTTGTTTAAATTATTAATCTTGGCGTTTGAATACCCGAATACATACAGCATCTAAAACCCTTAACATTAATAAATGATTCAGGCCTAATGTCTTACTTAAAACTATGTTAATTATAATGAATAATCTATTATAATAGCCAGAGTGACTTGTATATATATATATATATATTAATTTTTTTATTTAGCTTTTAGTATAAACTATTAAAGCTCAACAATTAATGTGAATACAGGAGATGCATATAGCATGTGACAATAAAATATATAAACATAATGTTGGTAAATATTAATAAAGTAGTATAGGTACACAAAATTATTATAAGATGATTATAAAGATAGATAAGAACATAAAATGATGAAAMTAAAACAATAACAATATTTATGGGAAGACGTACAACGGTGTAGATAATTATAATAGTCTTTTATTTAGTCAATACTGCTACTGAGACCAAAATTAACTTTCCCAAGCCGTCTACGATCCCCAATTCCGATAAACCATCATACGCTCAAAGTACTTCTTCTAACCAAAACTACCCCTTTTATAACTTTTCATCATACATTGAAACATTATTTTCTTCCTTTATTACTTTAGCGCTATCAAAAGCCCCTCCTAGCCTTGTTAAAAAGTGACTTGTACAATTATAAAATACACCAAAACAAATAATTATAAAACAACTGAACAGTTATTATGTACTAATGTACTATAAAATTTTAGTGCTTATTGAACAGCATTTATTTTATAACATCATCATTAGAAGATATAAAGAACAAATAAAAATGTGGTTAAAAAAATAAATAAATACGTAATGATACAGATATCCCAACTAAAGTAGAATACTACACAATGGCGACGGGATATATAGAATTATTTGAAGCAATTGCTTATTGTCTAAAAGACCTTTGGCAACTGCTGCTTATTAGTTGTGGTAAAAATGTTTAAAATATAAATTATGCTTCAAAGTCTCCACAATTTTGCACTAGCCACTGATAATAAACATTGCTTTACCTATTAAATAATATGATTAGGTAGCTTACAAAGTATCAGTAACTGAAATATCAAAATTGAGTATAGCCATATAAAAGCAACAAATAGGCTTCAATAGAAGCAATATTTAAAAAATTATAAAAAACTTCAAAATTACTTTAAGTTGTAGTATACAATAAAATAAGAGGATTGTAATTAGTAAAATTCATGATGTAAAAATTTTATTTCTCAAATCAAAAATAAAATTGTAACATCAATACTTCTACAAAAGCCAACTAATAATAAATTATAAAAATAACTATAAAAACAAAAAAATAAACATGAAGCTTACCCGAAATAATAAGTTTGTTATGTGTTCTTGTTCTTAAACATTCACGCAACACAGACAATTAATTCATCATGGTGTAACGTTTTTTTACATGGAACAATGTTTGAAGAAGGAACTAAAAATTCAAAATTTCAAAAATGATCAACAATTCAGCATAATATTATATCACAAGTTAAAATATATTCTCTGAGTAGGAGTTTGAACCGCGGTCCGTGAGAGATATCAACAATTCTGAACACGATGTGTGATAATATTCATAATAAATAATAATAATATTCGTTGTGATAATATTCTGATAGCCTATGTTTATATCATTAAAATAATTATATACTTATTACCATAGGTATATACAACTACAAATTACAATATATCTATGGTTATTACTATTAAATTAGTTATTAGTTTATAATTTAAAATTTTATTTACCAGTAATCAGTAATCAGTACCACACGTAAACATCATAGACATTAATTTATAATAATAGCAATTGTAAATGTCTATCTCTATGGTAAACACCGACCACACCACTCAGCCATCAACAAAAAAAATAAATAAAATACTTACAAAGTGGTAAAGTAATTTATATTTATTACTTTACCGATAAATAATTACTTACTTTTTAATACTTTACCAAAGTTATATTACCGTTGTACATCACTAGTGATCCTAGAGCAATAATAATTTCTGCACGTGCGTGAATGAATGATAGTAAAATATGATGACGTTATCTCCTATCAGTCTACACAACGAAATTAATGTGTTAAGTATACTGTTATGAGAAATTGTAAAATACTATTTCAAATTTTTAGAGTTAACCATTATATTGGATTATAAATTTAAACTGTAATTTTCGTTCTAGCTCTTGTATTACAATTTAATATTTATTGCATAAAACCGTTTTTATTACCTTCAACAACATGTTGAATGTGTAGTGATCACGTCACCTACAGGTATCAGTAGTCAAGGATGATGGTTGGAAGGTGACTCTTGAGTTAATTACACAACATAGAATTCTTCTTAATTAGATTAATTGTTTATTTATTGTGATAAAACATATATTTATTTATAACATGAAAGCTGAATGTAAGTTAAGTATTCTGAATGATAGAATAAATTCGGTTTGATTCGAATATTTTCTAAGTTCAAAATATTGTTTATAAGAAATTTTCTAAGTCCAATGAATTAAATTAAACAACAGACTGGCGTGAAGGTGCTCTGGCTAGTCTGGTCAAGTCGCGTCTGAATACAGGCCGTTTCGGGGTCCCTTATATAGTGCTACCCTCTACTCCCCATAGTCTACTCGTTCTTGTCGCTGTTCTCACGGATGTGGTATAATTATCTAGACTGACGGAAATGTTACTCGCCCACATACAAGCCAAATGTGCATCCCGTGCAGCTGCAAACCTTGGTGATTGATATTATAATTAACATTAAGAGTATATATTATAATATTACATTTAAACATTTGGTTCTTTGAACTTTTGTAATGATGCATAAAACTACGTCTTGTGCACCCTTATTGAGGACATTTTTATAGTCGTCTGCTCCCATGATTTAGTATGTCCCTAATTTTAATGATTTCCAGAAATGCTGTCCCTCCTACATTTACAAGGATCGTCGCACCCTTCCCTAGATTGATGCGGCTGGTACCTAGTTGACCGTGAACTATGCAATGCGGGACGCTAGTCCATAGCAAATGCATGTTTATTTTGCCTGAAATCATCAAAATCACACCTAGGTCTATTATTGCATAAGTAAGTATAATTCGTTATTATTTTGATCATTTAAATTGATCTTGTTATTTTAAGTTAATACAGTGAAACCCATTAATGAATAAAATCCCTAAAATCTGAAGATGATAAAAATTGTTTTCCTATGATTGCCTTACTAAATATACCTAATATTCTTATTGTATTTTAGTTATTATTAATGAAGTTTTAATTTTAACTGTCAACCAAAAATATTTGAATTAACTTAAAAAACCAGTTGTGTTGCTGATTAGAAAACTAGTTGTGTTGACTCAATTTTAACCGTCAACCAAAAATATTTAAATCAACTTAAAAAACCGGTTGTGTTAACTAAATTAATTAATTATCTATTTTTATTGAACAGATTTCCAACATAGAAGTTGGCCCCAAAATTTATGGATTTCTAATTAATGATAATGGATATAATTGAAAAATGTGCTCCAGGAATTTTGAGGAAGATTGTTTTATTGAAAATATTAAACAGTAAATGCCTTTAAATAACGGTAAGAGCTTAAATCAAGACCTATGTTATATTTAAAATGTAGAAATAAATTTATATTAAACTTGCCAGAACCCTTGTAAGTAATTTTTAGTTTTAAATTTAAATAATAAATATTTTATATTGATTAATATTTAAATTCTTTAGTTGCAGACCTAAAATTATAATCACAGAGGATTGTGGTGTATCTGTATTAGAACCTGAAGTATTGTGGCCTACATTTCCAAATCTTATATCTATTTATGAATCAAAAGAACCTTTGGATTTGTTGTTAAGTCCTAATATAAATGAATTATTTGCTGTAACACAAAGTTCTTTAATTGGTATGTTATATTTATTAAAAATTATATATATTTATATATAATAATGTGATATATGTACTTAATTCTTTCATTAAAATTATTGGTACTTGTTTGTTATCACCCCGCCAGTACACCAAATAACATTTATCTCCCCGCCATTCTTATTTGTTATCGGCCCGCATATAGTTATCGTGTTTAGCTCATGATAGATGATCTRTTTTGGGAAATATTTTAGGAAATAACTACACTTTGCGAGACATTTTATATCATACTAATATAATATCAAATAAATAATAATATTATATTAGTACGTTGCTGGCTTAATAAAATGTAATAATAAAAAGTTATTTCTGAGTTCTGTATTCA